CTGGAATGTTCTTTACTGTGAAGGACACTGTTGGGGACAAGGGTCAACATGTGAGTAAAGTCTGTAATTTGTTGTCTGTTGTACTGGCATCGCTTTTCTGATCTGGGTGATTGTTCGGTGAGCTGGGAGGGGAATGCCTTAGATATTAGGAAATGCACCTTGGCATCTTTAGGAGTGAAAGGGTGGAGAGAGAGACAGAGGGGGAGGAGACAGAGGCAGAAAAGAACAAAACAAAGGTGATAAAATGTCAACCTTTGCAGGATATAGGAAGGGTTTAGAAAGCTCTTTGTATGATTTCTGTAAATCTGAAATTATGTCAAAATAAAAAGTTAGAAAACAGAAGGGAAATGAATGTTGTGAAGCGTCAGGCAACACACCCAACTTGTCCCATTAGGGCCATCAGGTGAGTCGACCAGCGGCCCAGCCAGTGCGCTGCCCGGCCATGGGCTGGCGTCTGTCTCAAACCCCAGCTGCAAGCATCACTGTTGCCTCCTCCTCCCTGGGCCCTGAAGTCTCTGGTCCCAGGACAGGTGCCAGGCACCCCTTGCGATTTAGGCCAATGATGGAGAAGCTTGTGCAGCCCCTTGGGATGCGATCCCCTTGGGATCACATTTCTTTCATGCCCTACCCAGCACCCCTGTTCAATTCGCTCTGGACATTTTTGTACGTCAAAGTGGTGATTAAGATCATTAGTAACTCTCAGAACTGAGATTGAAATGTCAAAAGCAGCCCAAAATGTGTGTCCATTGCACAATGGATCTGTTTCGCTGCCTGGTAGTGGCCAACACTGATCCACTATGAAAGAGAAGGAAAACTAGAGTCTGGAGTTTTCCTGTAAAGAGCCGGGTGCTAAGCATTTTGGGTTTGGCAGGCCCCACGGTCTCTGCTGCAACTGTTCAGCTCCACCTTCAAATGTGAAAGCAGCCCCAGAAGATACACAACCAAGTGGGCATGGCCTTGTGCCAATAAAACTTTATTTACAACAGAAAGAGAGCCAGAATAGGCTGTGGGTGTAGTCTGCTGATCTCTGGTTCACATTCCCTCCTGGTGTGCCAAGAGGCACCTCTGCCAAGAGTCACAGTGGTGCAAAGGTGGGCACAAGCAGTGTGTGTCCATCAGCATGGGGTTGGGTGGACAGCTCAAGGCACTGCTCATGGAATATGATACAGCAATGAAAAGGAGTGTGTGTGTATGTGTGTGTGTGTGTGTGTGTGTAAATGAAACATATAAAAGTGAGAGCTGGGCCCACCCAGAGAATGGATGCGCTGTGTGGCCCTGGGTGGTGGGGCCCCAGCTGCCAGGCCGACGTTTGGCACACTGCACACATGACTTATGATGGTCTAGAGGCCTGGGTATAAAAGGCACCATCTCCTCCACTCAGGCTGGCTTCTCTCCTCAGCCACAAACATGGGTCACAAGTCTCAATGTTGGTGTGTTAGTCTGGAATCTCCAGGAAGGATGTGTGTATAGAGAGAGGGTGCGGGGCTGCACAGTCCAAAATCCCCAAGGGAAGCACAAAGCCGGGAAATCCCAGCAGGGGCCAACGTTGCCTCCGAAGGCGCCCTGAGCAGGATTCCTTCCTCCTCGTGGGACCTTCTCTTCAACTGATTGGACAGAGCCCACCCATGTTCCAGAGGGTGGTGTTCATTCAGTTAATGGTTTTAAATATTCATTATGCCCTGAAAGTGCCTTCACAGCAACATCCAGACTGATGTCGCACCAAACAGCTGAGCACTGTGGCCTCGTCAAGTTGACACAAAGAATTAAGCATTGCAATCAGTAACTTCTCAGTTCTACAGTTCTTTTCACACTGATTTAGAGGTTCACTGTAATCCCAGTTAAACCCAAGGCTTAAAAACAACAACTAATAAGCTGATTCAAAAATCATATGGAAGTGCAAAGAAACTGGAATAGTCAAAACAACTTTGAAAAAGATCAGAATGGAAGGATTCAGACTACCTAATTTCAAGACTTACTGGGCAGCCAAGGTAGTTAAAATAGTGCAGTGGGAGTGAAAGAAGAGGCACACAGATCAGTGAACAGAACATAGTCCGGAAATCGACTCACACGCAGCCATCAGTTGGCTTAAAAGATAAATTAAAAAAAAGGTGCAAAGGATGGTCTCTTCAAGAAATGGTGCTAGGACAACGGGATATTCGTATGTGAAAATCTAAACTTGTTCCATATTGTGCAACATATTTTTAAGTGAGGGGCAGATCTCTGCTGCCCCTTGGTCTTCCTCACTGCGTCAACTTCACCTTCTCTTTTCACTTTCATGCTATTTTCATCATTGTCAAAGAAAACAGACATTTTGTAGCTAAAAATAAGTATGGGATTTAAGGGCTTAAATTTTTAAACATCAGTTCCTAAGTTTAAATACCTCAATACCTAAAAAAAAGCACAAAATGGTTCATAAATCTAAATGTAAAACCTAAAGCTATTACACTTTGAGAAGAAAACAGAAAGAAATCTTCGTGACCTTGAGTTGGGGAAACAGTCCTTCGGTGTAACTGACACCGGAGCACAATCCATAAAGCAACAAACTGACTCACTGGACTCGGTAAAATTAAGAGCTTTTGCTCTTTGATATTTAAGTTAATGAAAAGACAAGCCACAGACTGGAAGAAAATATTTACAAATATATAGCTGCTAAGCGGGTTGTATCAGGCATATATAAAGAATTCACAGCCCTGGCTGGTGTAGCTCAGTGGATTGAGCTCGGGCCTGTGAACCAAAGGATCGTGGTCTGATACCCAGTCAGGGCACATGCCTGGGTTGCAGGCCAGTTCCCAGTAGGGGACACATGAGAGGCAACTACACATTGATGTTTCTTTCCTTCTCTCCTTCCCTTCCCCTCTGAAGATAAATAAATAAAATCTCTTTTAAAAATGTGATATTCTTAAAAAAAAGAATTCACAGAAGTCAATAAAAGAAAACCTGTAAAAAATGGGCAAAGCTTTCACAGGCATGTCACCAAAGGAAGACACACCAAAGATGTGGGAGAGAGATACAAACGTGCAAACAGTCAACAGGAAGACACAAGTTAAAGCTGCGGCGAGGCAGCACTACACACCGGATCCACCGCACCGAGCGCCGGCAGGGATGCGGAGGAACTGGTGGCGGGAGCGTACAATGGTAACGTCATCTTCGAAGAGGAGACCCAGCCATGCCACTCCTGGGCATTCACCAAAGAGAGATGAAAGCCCACATCCACGCATTTAATCTTCTACAAATGTTTATAGCAGCTGATGGGCAAGAGCCAGAACTGGCAAACAACCTAAACGTCTCTCAACAGGTGAACTGACAACAAATTGTGGTCCAGTAAGTCCTCACTTAACACCGTCAAAAAGTTCTGCGACTGTAAGCAAAACGACACAGGACGAGATCAGTTACCACAGGCTGCACCCTCGTTGTAAGGAAACGTCGGGATTGACTGTATCTGATTAGAGATCAGTAAAGCTGTTTCAGAGGTTTAAAAAAAAGACAACACAAGATAAAGCCAGTATGCTATCATCTATACAAAATGTTTAAGCTGTACAGAAAAATGTTGAATGTTGTTCCTGTGTTCATAAGTATGTATGCAAAAAATCTTTTCAAGAACGAAAAGAATGTGGTCAGTGGATCATGCCTTTGGGTAAAGGGGCAGAGATAGAAATGGCTACAAGGGGCATTGACTTGTGTTTTACTGCTTTAAAACAAAGAACCCCAGGGAAGAGGTCAAAGTTGCTGGTTGGGACCCCTTTGGGGTCCTGGTGGAGGACGCCTTTGCCCAAACTGCTCACTGCCACCCAGAAAATGACAGGGACCAAGATGCTCACAGCGCCGAGGGAGCCCAGGCAACAGCCCGACGGGCCTGGCGCGGGCGGCCTGGCCTCACCTTCACCTTCACAGCCGTCCTGGGGCACAAGTGACCTTCCCAAGTGCAATTCAGGCCCCACCCTCTTCTCCTCAGCCACCCCTCCCCATGGGGCCCCAACACACTGAAGAGTAAAATGCGAACACCCCACCAAGACCCTTTTGGGTGGACAGACACCTCCACCACGCTCCTCTTCAGCCACACAGGCCTGCCCACCATTCCTCCAGCACTCCAGCCACTGCCTGCCCCAGGCCTGCGCCCCGAGGGCCCTCTGCCTGGACCACGGGGCTGGGCTTCCAGGCAGCTTAACCCTTCCTGTCACTGACTTCACTCAAAAGCCCCAGTCTCAGGAAGCCATCACTGCCCCGCCCATTATTGTTACTTGTCTTCCTCAGGGGACTGCAGGCCCCCAAGTGGCGGGGACAGGGTCTCCAGTTCTGAGTACCCGGCAGAGGGACAAACATGAAGATGAGACTGTGCGTTCACCCCCCACCCACACGGGAGGCAGGACATCTTTGCCAGTCGGGCTAGTGGTGTTTTGGTTTTCCCGGTTATACTCAGTGGGACTTTCTGTGCAGAGTTAAGGAAACGCGAGTCCCTGTTAATGTGAGCTGATAGGCTGGCCTTTCTTCTGAAATGTGGCGAGTTTTACCCATGTTCATGCTGAGGCCAAAGCCACCTACCAGCCTTAGTCGGGGAAGGCAGGGGAAAGACAGCTGCGACCCTGTTCCCACATCGAGTGACAGCACCCCACGACCCCAGAGCAGCCCAGAGCTGTGCCTAAGCCTGGTCATCCCCAGAGCCTGGTGTGGGGCTGGGAGGTGCGCCTGGCCAGTGGGAGGGACCTCTATACAGCCTGGAGTGCCCCCTACCCCACACTAGGTTGAATGGTGCCCCCTCAAATTCATGTCCCCTGAGAACCTCAGCATGAAACCCTACTTTGAAATTGGGTCTTCACATACTGTTGAGTTTGCATGGATGGTGGGCCTTGCCTCCACCATCCACGCCCTCCCCAGACACAAACACAGCACACACAAGACCACACAAAGATGGAGGCAAAGCCATGTGTCCACAAGCCAAGGGACAGACCCTCTCACAGCCCCCAGAATCAACCCTGACCACACCCCCAGAAAGGACACTCAAGGACGATTGTTCGATATGGCTTTATTTTCTGACCATCCGACTGCATCCCACAACCGGCCTGAGCTCTGAACAGTCAACAGCCCTGGAGGAAGACCCTCATCAGGCGACCCCAGGTGGTGTACCCATCGCTGTCACAAAGGGAAGGGTGAGCCCCCAGAGGTGGCTGGGCGTCTGGTGACTGACCGGTCTCTGGGGGAGTTGGTCCACCAGACAAGGCAGAGATCGGACGAGGCAGAACCTGTGGCCCCCACGCAGGCCTTCCCATAGGTCTGGCTTAGCCAACACCCAGAGCCTAGAAGGCTGGACAGCCAGCCAGACGTGCTCACGCTCAGGGAGGGGAGGGCTGGCCGGCCCAGGTGGACAGCTGGAGTCAGAGGCAGAGATGTGAGTCCCCAGAGGAGCCCAGGCCCTCCTGCTGGCGGGCTGTGGGGAAGGGGCAGCAGCAGGCCAGGGAAGGGGTGGGAGGGCCAGTCCTCCAGCCCCGTCAGACATCTCTGGAGCCCCTTGTCCCCAGTCCTGACCCTCCCCTTAGCACTTAACGCTTGGTTATATTGCTCATGAATCGGTACACCTGCACCTCCCTGAGGTCCACCCGGTGCTAAGGCCTCCTCCCCATCATGAGAGCAGCTCCCGCCCCATGAGGCACCTGGTTTGTGGGGTGAGGGCTCGGGTACGGCTCCCAGGAAGTCCACAGCTTCCCTCCGGGTCCCACGGTGGCATCCTCTCCAGGAAGCACTGCCCCATGCCCCACCCCCTCGTGGGTGTTGCTTCCCCAGGACACACCTGCCTTTCACGGATGAGAAAACAGGCCCAGAGGGTTGTGCTAAGGAGTCAGCAGAAGGACCAGTGGGTCTGCAGCCCAGGGCTGCCTCTGGCCCTGGGGCCTCCCAAGGCACCCGTGTTCCCCTTGAGAGCCAGGGCTTGGGAGTCCAAGCTCCAAGAGAAGCCAGCCCGGGGAGATGCTGCTCTCCCCAGGGCACAGTGAGAGGGAGCAGAGGCTAGAGACTCCAGTGAGGGGGATCAATGCAGGGCCGGACAGGGAGGCGGCAGAGTAGGGGCGGCGCCATGTCGCTGGGTCTTCGGGGCACCAGTGTGGTTCAGGGGAGGCATGTCCCTCAGCCCTTTGCCCAGAGAGGAGCCACAGCCTGGGGACCCAGAGGCTGGTGCCGCCCTCTTCAGAAAGACATGAGGAGTGTGTCTGGGTCATGGGGAGATGAAGACAGCGCTGAAGACAGACGCAGGGCCAGTGCCGGCTGTGGTCAGCATCCCAAGCAGGAGCGGCTCCAAGGCTGTGCCGGGGAACTCGCCTTCTGTAGCACAGCTTAGCGCCCTGTGGGCTGCGGGGCCACCTCCTGGGTCAGAGGCTCTGCCACGACTTGTTCCCAAGTCCGTGGCTTGGCCCCAGAGCTCCAAAGAATTCTCCTCCGAGGAGTTCGAAGAACAAAAATGAGAAAGAATCCCCCAAATCTTCAAGAGCAACACAGAAAAGCTCTGCAGGGTCTCAGCAAGCCCCTGCAGACTGAGTGGTGAGGGTGGCAGGTGGGGGGGGGCCTGCGGTGCTTGTCACTGTGTCTTGGCCTTCAGGAGCAGTCTCTGAACTGTTTTGTACAAGAGGTCGAAGTGCTGGGGGCAGCAGGAGGGCGCAAGTGGTCACGAGGGAGGCTGGGAACAAACCCCCCAGGGAGGGCCCAGGGACCTGTGCGGTCACCTGCTTCCAGGCAGGATGGGGGCGAGGACGCGCTCAGCCGGTCCAACCCTCCCATCCGAGCCCTGCGTGCTTACCTGGACTGCCGTGTAGGCCATGCCGAGGTAGGCGCCAATGCAGACTGCCAGGAGGAGGTCGAAAATGGCTGGTTTGACCCTGGAGAGAGGGGGGGTCAGAGGTCAGGGGAGGGTGTGGGACTTGCTGCTCTGTGGGTGGTAACCCAGGGGACAGGGGCTCCTGGTCCAGAGCAGCTCACCTGTAGGCATTCATCACCTGCTTCAGCTGGTCGTAGAAGACAAACTCGGGGTCCCTGGGAGAGAGTGCGTTCTCAGTGGACTCGCCCCGACAGCCGAGCCAGGTCCTGTGGCGCCCCCTCCCCTCCTCAGACACCAGACCACCCGGAGGTCCCACCTGCCGGCTATGTGGCAGGGAGCACCCCATGTGTGCGCCCCCTCAAGGCTGCTGCTCTCCCTCCTGGGACAGGGCTACTTTCTGTTCCGAAACCCCATCTTCCCTATTGCTTTTCTGGGTGTTGAAGTGTCCTCTTTAACAATGGAAGGTGGTGACTACAGATACCCTGCTGGTCTAGAAAGTGTTTCTTTACAGGACAGGTGACCGTGGCCTAGGAATCAGAGACCCTGGCTCTGCAGCCGTGGACCCCCTTCAGCCTCAGTCCCATCTGAGCCCTGTGTCTCCTGAGAGTGCCATGAGCCAGGAGGAAGGTGGAGACCAGCGAGGGCAATGAACACTCTGGAGGACATCTCCTGTGGTGTCTGTGGACACCCCTGGGTGCCCTTTCTACTACTGGCCCTAAGGGGCCTGCTCAGTGCAACTGGGGGGCTCAGGAGCCTTGAGCAGAAAGAAGACAACCCAGGGGCTCACAGTGGGGAGGGGCACCCTCAGGGCACACAAGGCCCTGGGCACAAGCCACCTCTTGCAGAGTGCAACTCGACCTCTGGTCCTTCCAGCCCCCCCAGCTGGGAGTACAGGGCTGCCAGATAAAACACAGGACACCGGTTCTCTGTGGACTGAGATAAACGAAGAATCGGCCTTCGGTATGCCATGTGGGACGACTTACACTAAAAACAATTTGTTGTTTGTCTAGAACTCAAGTTTAACTGGCACCCTGTAGCTTTTTTATCTATCGTTTTACTTGCTTGCTTGACCTGGCACAGGGGAAGGTGCAGAAGACTCTAACAGAGCATGCTCACTGGGAGCTGCGCCTTCCAGGAGCCCAGGGCGGGCCGCCTAGCCTCACCGTTTGTCAGCCTTGATGTGGTGCTGCTTCACCTCCTTCAGGTAGCGGCTCAGGTAGTGCTCCAGCGTGCTGAGGAACGTGCCGTCCTTGTCCACCAACTGGGCGGCCCGCGGCTGGTTGGTGAGCCAGTCCATCACCGAGTCCAGCTGTTCCTGCTGGATCTGCTGTGAAGGGCACGGCCATGGTCACGGGGCCCTGCTCGGCACTGCACCGGGGTCCCTGCCCACCCGACCCGGGGGTTACCATCTGCTCTGTGAAGACAGGCATGTCCGGGGGGGTCCCCTGCAAAGAGAGGAAGGGACAGGCCCTCAGTCCAGACCCACCTGGGGCCCTGGGCGGAGGGCCTGCGGCCACAGTGGGGGTCTCACCTTCTCGGTCAGGTTGTAGATGACTCGAGTCAGGGCCTCCGCAATGAGCCTTGTGTTGCGGGTCAGGGTTTTAGAGTCAACCCGGGACCTTCAGGGGCAGATGTGAAACAACTCTATAAATATTTGGAATCAGCATCATTGATAACCACCAAAAAGCAAAAACTATCACACATCTAATGACAATCAAAGTAAGATGCCTCCTCAGGCAGGCTGGGCACCTCTTCACACCTCAGATTCTGCCATTTTTCTTTTTTTTTTTTTAATCCTCACCTGAGAATACGTTTATTCATTTTAAAGAGAAAGGAAAAGGGGCGTGGGGAGAGAAAAAGACATCAATCAGTTGCCCCCTGTACCCATCCTGACTGGAGATCGAACCCCCAACCTAGATTTGTGCCTTGACTGGGGACTGAACCGGAACCTTTTGGTGTGCGGGACGATGCTCTGACCAACTAAGCCATCCAGCCAGGACCAGGTTCCACTTTAAAATGGGGCACCCTGCATTCCTCGAAGGGCTGTCCAGCACCCTCAGGGGTTACTGGCAGGTGCAGAAAAGCAGGCCTGGCTCCTTGTATTCGCCTGAAACGACTGGGCCCCTCGAAGCCTGTTTCCTCACCTGCATCATGGGATGGGGGTGGTCAGGACACCTGCCGCCATGGTTTGTTGAGGGCGAAGTCAAGGCAACACCCAGGAGTAAGTAAAGTATGCCCCCAATCCACACCCACCTGACCCTGGGAAGGTGACCTACGGTGGAGGTAGGATCTCTGCAGGTGTGGTGAGGAGGTCACACCAACGTGGGTGGCCCTATGTCCAATGGTGGGCGTCCTTGTAAGAGGGAAATTGGTAACAACGGAGGCAGAGATTTGGGTGACGTGGCCCCAAGCCAAGAGACACCAAGGACCGCTGACAACACAGACCCAGAAAGAAGCACTTTGGCAAAATGTCACTGATCCAAGGTGTGAGACACTGGGATCCCTGAGAGGGGCAGGGACAGGGGTGGCCTGGCTCACCCCTCGGTCTGTTTCTCCTTCCCTCCACTTCTTTGCTCTCAGCACCCTCTGCTCTAGAACAACCTTCTCCTGACTCATGTCCCTTGGTTTCACTGTCACCTCCTCCAAGAAGCCCTCCAGCTCCAGGACCAGCCAATGCTCCTGCTGTGCCTGTTCTCTCTCTCTGGGCCCCTGTCACCAGGCTGTCTGGGCCCCTCCAGACTACCTGTTTATTTCCCGCCCCCTGGCTGACGCATGTCCAGTAGCTAGGCTGCTGCCCATGGGTGGCCAATGAGAGGGCAGAGGCAGAGACTCCCAGGATTGGGTTTGGCAGCCAGTGCCACCATGAAACCCCGACCCCCCTGAGGGCTGCCACGCCAGCGGGGAAACCAAGGGGATGTAAGGTCCTAAAATGACAGCAGCCAGAGACGCCCCTCATCCCAGAGGGTGAAGTGAAAAGGGGCTGTTGGGGGGGCTCCCAAGGAGGCACGAGGGTCCACGGAGGCAGGTCACAGCCCCCCAGCCACAGCTGTGCAAAGACCTGGGCACAGAAGCCACAGGGCGAACTGAGGTGCTCAGGGTCTGAAAGGCATGCACAGGGGCTGAGGGCGGAGGCAGGCCATTCATTACCTGTGTCCTCCCTGTCGCCAGCAGCCCCCTGCTGAGTTAGCACAGGTGGACCGCCCTTCTGTTCCTTGAGCTGCCAGGCCAGTGCCAGCCCCTCCCCCACCATCCACACAGTCACGAGTTCCCTCCAGGCACTCACATCTACCTACCGCCAGCACCCCCAACTCCGAAAGAAACAGCTTTGTTCCTCGGACCCAGATGGCAGGGAGGTGGCTAAGCGAGAAAGTGGGAGGCCTCAGGGTCCCACTCACCGCACGTCCATAATGCTGCTGCGCTGGCCATCACGGTGGCTCTCCAGGTGGGACAGGGTGAAAGCAGGCAGCCGGCGGATGGCAAAGCGCTCGTGCTCCCAGGCCAGGATGTCCTCCGCCAGGTTGATCTTCTTGTGCACCATGGAGAAGCGCACCTCTGGGAACTGGTGAGTGGCCACCTGTGTGGGTAGCACAGTTGTAGAGTCCACCCACCACCCCAGATCCCGCCACATCCCCCCACATCTGCAGAGGGACATCCCCCCACATCCCCCCTGCACTGAGCTCGTTCCACAAAAGTCCACACAGGGCCCTGAGAACCAGGAGTGTCCCATGGACCACCCTAAACCTCCCGCATTTGGAAATGGGGAGGAACCCACTCATCCCCCCCCAGGAATCCAACTGAAGCTCATGCAAGGCCCCAGGGTCTACAAAACACCTGGTCTGATACCTGGCTGATGGTGAACACTAGCTAACAAGTAACAGTAGGGCAGATAACACAGCCTGGCCCGAGTTCTCTGGGACACGCTGCCGCCCTTCTCAGAGCCTCGGGGGGCCCTTCTGTAAATGGGCACATGCCTGGCACCGGGTCAAGCTGCTGCCTGGAAGGCTCCCTTGCTCCCAGGCACCTACCACCTCCAGTTCCCGCAGGAAGGCGTGCTGCAGCGTCCCCTCCCTGGGCGGCTTGGACACATGCAGGTGGAGGCTGTTCCCTCGGCCCAGGGTGTCCAGGCAGAGGACGAAAGCCACGTTGTCCTGGAGCAGGCTGGAATCTGTGGGAGCAGCAGGAGCTGACTCGAGGCGGGGAGGGGGAACCAGGGCGCCTGACCCGTGTCCTGCACCCGCTGGGGGCCGCTACCTGTGTGGTCCAGGTTGTCTTCTAACCAGCGCTTTGTCCCCTGGTAATTAAATTTGCCCCCTCCAGAGGCGAAGAACAGGAGATTATACCTGGTGGGGAGAGAGGAGGTGTCAGTTCTGGCGGATGACAAGTCAGGTCCTCAACAAGGAGGTGGTCTCCCCCGAGTACAAAACCCTAACCAGCCCTTGGGGCAGGGCTTCCCTACTGCCCACCGCCGACATCAGGGCCGGGTCGTCTCTGGGGGACTGTCCTCAGTGCGTGGAGCAGCGCTGCCGACTCCTGCCCACCTGACACCAAGAGCGCCCCCAGTTCTGACAACCACCAGTGTCCCCTAGGGGTGAGAGTCACCGCTCTAGGGGCTTCTCTGAGCTCTCAAGACCAACCAGGAAAGAGACCCAGCAGATGAGCAGCGGAAGGGGTTCGGTGCTTCCTGAAGCAGACTGAGCCCCGGGCTGTCACGGGGACCGCATCCCCAGCCTCCCTCCTCCCCCTCGCCCGCCCGCCCGCCAGGGCCACCGCTGTCCTTACGGGAGAAAAGACTGAAAAAGAGAGGACGTGTGGGGATGGAGGCAGAGACTGGAGTCACGCAGCCACATCCAAGGAATTCTGAGGACTGCAGGGAGCTCCCAGAAGCTGGGGAAGGCACGAAGGACCCTGTCCCAGAGCCTCAGCGGGGAGCACGGCCCTGCGGCACCTGACCTCGGCCTTCTGGTCTCCAGAACTGGGAACATAAATGTCCACTACTTGGCAACCCTGACCCTGTGTGCAGTGTTTGGTGACAACAGCTCTAAGGGATTGACAATCTCACTGAGCCCCTTCCTGCCGCAGGGCAGCGCAGAGTGGGCGAACAAACAGAACCACCTGGCCCGGTGTCCACAGTGCTGAGATAAGGAACTCGGTTTAAGTGACTGGTTTTTTTTTTAGTGTTTCTATTACTTGCAGCTAAAGGCATCCATGACACTCACCGGGACTAACAGCATCTGGGCCTCCTGAGCGGGACTCCAAGGAGTGAATGGGGGAGGCCTGGCCTTGGCGGCCCTCAGCACACACACACTGTGTTCCTGGGGCCGGAACTGCACGCAGGCCATGGGGCTCAAGTGTACCCACTGCGGCCCCCTTAGCACGGGGCCTCGGCTGACCCCCGGTCCCCCCACCTGGCAGCCACTTACGCTGCATGGGTGCGCTTGTAGGTGTACAGCCTGGAGAAGAGGCGGGCGAGCTCCAGCAGCACCGAGATGCCACTCCCGTTGGAGTCCGCGCCGTGCGACAGCCACTGTGGGCAGGCAAGACAAGGCTGGCGGTTACCTCCCAACAGTCACGCACGGCACCTCGTCACCCCCCTCCCACAGCACCTGCAGCCCATTCTGCCTGTCCCTGGTCTTGTCCCTGGTCCACACTCAGAGCACAGCTGGGAGAGCTGCCCTCCTCTGCTCGGAACCCCAGGCTGCCAGCACCCTGGCGTCCACAGGGAGGAGCCCTGGGCACTCAAGGCCCTTCTGGGTCCCTTGCTCACAGCACCTGTCTGTGCCCGGCGGGTGGCCATGCCACCAGGGCAGCCTCTGTCAGCCTTAGCGCGTGCACCCAGGCCCTCACACCCGTCACTGTGGGGGCAGTTGGCGGCACCGGCTCCCTCCAGCTGGGCCACCAGCCTTCTGGGCCTTGAGAGCCTCCCCCAACCCCAATCAGCTGGGTTCTGTGATTGAAAGCAGTGCTCCAAAGAGGCCGCGACTGGTTCTTGGGGGAAAAAAATCTTGCGATGCCATAGTGGCTTGGGAGCCTCCCAAGGTCACGGTCCATAAACCAACATATGTTGTATCAACATAATTCAATTCATGATGTTCAGCGAGAGAAGCCAGACACCAAAGGCCACATACTGTGTGATTCCATTTACGTGAGATGCCCAGACTGCTAATGGGGATGCGGCTTCTTTTGGGATGATGGAACGTTCTGGAATTAGATATTGGTGATGATTATACAATCCTGTGACTATATTAAAAACCACTGAATTGTATGCTTTAAAAGGGTGAGTTTTACATTATGGAAACTATATTTCAAAAAATTTTTTAAATTTCACAGACGGTGAAAAATTAGGACAAAATATCTAAAAAGGAATGATGACCAAGTTGAGAAGTGTTCTCAGCTGACTGTTCAGGGTCTGACTCTGGGCCCCGCCGGCCCAGGTGTTCTCCAGGTCAGCCTTGCCCTTCTGGGTGGTGTGACCCCTGGAACAGCTGTCACTGGTCCGGGCACAGTCAGGAGCTCGCAGCAGGTCCACCCACTGTCCGCACCATTTGGTTCGGCTGACTATTCTTTCAAAGTGAGACTTTCCTGATGAAGGGAGTGGAGCCCCACCTGGCGTGTGCCCGACCTCACTGTGCTGGGGAACCTGAGAGCAAGCCCTGGCTCTGACTCCTGTCAGAGTGGCACCCGGAACTGAACCCTGGGGGGCTCCCTGACCATAAACTGCCTGTGCAAACACATGGTTCATCATGTGTGTGTGTTCTCCTTCTGGAGTCTGGGATCTGGTATGTGCCAGACACAGGGCCCCGCATGACTGGCCCCCAGTGAGAGCCCCGGGCACGGGGTCTCCATGAGAGCCCTGGGCACCACACCTCACACACATTGTCACATCTTCTTTTGTGGGAATAAGTGCGTCCTGTGGACTCCACCTAGAGGGGATGCTGGAAGCTTACACCTGGCCCCTGCCTCGACCTGCTCCCTGCACTATCCCCTGGGCTCATTTTGCTCTGCCCTGCTCCTGCACGAAGCATGGCCATGAGGCCAAGCATCTGCTGAGTCTGGGGTCCTCCCAGCGAATTACCTTGAAGAGCCACACACACCCTGGGCTCTATTCCTGGCCTGGCCACCCACGTGCAATGGGACCCTGGTCACAAGACCCACCCCAGCTTAGCCTCTGTCTCAGCTCCATGATGCCGCCCACTCTGCAGGGTTCTCACGGGGGACTGATGTAATGCCTAAAGGGCCTCCAAGTAGGCGCTGCTGCTCTGACTGCCGCTGCTGCCCACAGACAGTCGCCCCGGCCCCCAGGCCTGGCTGGAACAGTGTGGGAAGACGCGCCCCTCCCCTCCTCTGGGGTGGGCGTATACGTACAGGGGCCACTCCGAAGGCATCGTAGTGCGCCACAATGACGATGGTGGGTAGGTCCTCTCCGCCCAGGCCCGTCAGCCGCCCCTGTTGAAAGATGGCCAGTGAAGCACCAGCCAGCAGAGGTCCTCACTGCCAGAAGAGTCGGCTCCCCCACCCAGTGGGAGTGGGGCAGGGGCAGTATTTTTAGCTTTGCTGGCTTTATGGGATGTCATGACTAGTGAGTCGTGGGTGATACGTAAACGAATGGACATGGCTGGATGCCAATAAAACTTTATTTATAGAAACAGGCTGGGGGCCAAACTTGGCCAAAGGCTGCAGTTCGCTGACCATGGCTCCAGCAACAAGAATCTGCTCGCTCCTCTTACACCATGCTTCTCCCCCTGGAAACCAAAGCCACCCTTCAAAGGCTGAGCTACATGCCCATTTGAGGGGCCGAGCTCTGCTGATGAGGAAAAACAGTGCAGTTGTGAAGGGAGCCCCTAGAGCCCCAGGGAGTCAGGGTCCCAGCACGAGCTGGGGACAGTGGGGGGAGTCCAAGAGCCCTGACATCCTCCCTGACCCTGCTTCCCAGGTAAGTAACAGGGATGGCAGAGGATGTGTAGCAGCACGGACATCACAGAACCAAAGGCCACAGCAGCCAAGCTGGCAGCTTGGAACAGAACCCCACATGGTGGGAGGGGCCCACCAGACCCTCAGTGGCTCACCCTGTGACCCCCAGGGAACCAGACCCACTGCGGCTAAACTCGGCCTCTGGGGTCTGACAATGAGGCCTCTGGCCGGCGCACGGTTCCTGCCCCTGAACCACCGGCATCTCACACAGTTCCAAAAAACATATCCATTCGATTACTGTGTCGCTTGTTAGAGGCTGGAGCAGCTTCGCCTCCCCCTGAATCAGCCTCTCCAACAGCTGCTGCACCTTCTCCTCCCTGGTCCCTGCAGGGCAGCCCGCTCCACCCAGGACCCCAGCCCGACCCTCACAGCTGCTGTAGTCAGCTCCAGGACTCGCAGCCCACACGTTCCTAAACGCCTCTCAGAAAATGCATGAGAAATTCTAGGGAGGGACGGCATCTTGATCACCACTGCCTCCTGCATACAGCAGGGACTCAAAAATTACTCACGGAAAGGCATGGGATTCTCGACCGACTGTGTGTGCTAAGTAACCCTGAGGGAGACTCACTGTGTTCTGAACGGGGAGGGATGAGGGATGGCTGACAATGTGGCTACACCCCAACTTTTACCAGAGTCTGCACACCGACACGGGGGGCAGTGCCAAGCAGCCGTGCACCATCTAGTGTAAACCCCTGGAGATCTGGGCCCACAGAAGCCCGCTAAGGCTGAAGGCAGTCTGGCCCAAGCAGAGAGCTGAGGAGACCAGCACGCTCAGCTCCCAGTGCTCCCTGGTGGCCTACAGGGCACTGGGCACCAGGGAAGACTCTGAGGATGGGACAGCAGTCTCGGCACAGCCCCATCCTGGGGTCTCAGCACAGCAACAGAGCAGGCACTCACCTCCACACTGGTGATGAGCCAGTCGCTCACAGCCTTGCTCTGGACTCCACTGGTGACCATCTGGAAGCCGTTGGCAGTGGCAGTGTGGAGCAGCACTGGGGACAAGAGCAGGGAGGGGTCAGCCCAAGGGCTCCCCAACGCCCTGGACCCTAGGTGTTCAGCCTATGCAAAGCTGGATGCGGAACTGACCTCACAAACTAGAACACAAAATGATGACTGGACACAGGAAAGAGCCTGGGCGTCCAGGATAAGAGATGGGGAGTCTCCCTGAGCCCAGGCAGGCAGGGAGCGCCCTCACTCTGCAGGACCCCGAGGCCTCCGTTCCAAATTTAGAGGCCTGTGCACACCCTGACCCAGCCTCCACGCAGCAGTCAGAGGTAACGGGGAAACAGGAGTCTCTTACTGGGCAGCGCACAACCCCCAGTCCTGTGCCAAAGGCCCACACAGCCCAAGCTCCCAAAGCGTTGTGACCCGTTCGCTCCTAACTAGAAACACCTGCTTCTGCCCTTCGGGCTCGGGACTGCACGCAGCCTTGAGTTCCCGCCTCAAGCCTGCTGTTACCCTCATACTTACAAACACGCTGTACGGGTACGTAAGACGTTACCCCAGAGGACCCGGGAGAAGGTGCCCTCAGGCGTGTGATAGGTTATCAACTTCTTCTCTAAGTCTTAATGCATTTCTAAGACAGCTGTGATCAACATTTATGATTTTATCTTCCGTTTTTTTCACTTACCAATGTAAAATAAGCACTTTTCCATGCTGCTAAAATTCTACCCAATGTCATTTTTAATGATTACATAATATTCTATTAAGCAGAAGATTCCTCCTCTGTTCTAACTGGAAATGTAGGTTTTTCCAAAAATTCACTCTTCCACTGGTGCAAAGCAGGTGACTGTTGTCAGGACTCTGGTCTAGACCGGGGGTGACAAACTTTTTCTATAAAGGGCCAGAGAGGCGGAATCTTTGGCTCTGCTCTGCCACGGCCACTCAGCTGGGCTGCTGTGGCGTGAAAACCACTGTGAACAATACGTAAACGAATGGACGTAGCCAAGTGACAATAAAACTTTATTTACACAGACAGGCGACTGAGGGCTATAGTTTGCCAACACCCAATCTAGCGTCCCATGCAGCCTACCACATGCTCAGGTGGACCAAACCTTTGCCCAAAGCTTAAACACACAGTGCCAGACTATTTCCCCACAGAGCTGGCTGGGTCTCCCCACGGGACCACCTGTCCACTCCTGTCAGTTCTGAGTATTTGTTCCTGTGACACCCGCCACTTCAACAGGCAGAAACAGAGCAGTGGGCGGCCCCTTTCGGCTGCACTACTGTGAGTAACTGTGCTGCTGCCCCCTCCCCACAGCAACCCACCCCTGCTCCCAGTTCCCCACGAATCCCCGGGCCCTGGGTGAGGACATGGGTTTTCTCCTCCCCCAGCAGCGATCGCTGCTGGCCAACCTGGACGCGCTCCGCAGGCAGGATTACCAGCAGACCAAGACTGTGACACACAGGTCTGGGCGGGCCTGGTAGCCCGCACTGGTGATATGGGTAATGTGCTAAGGGTCTCTGAGGTGGCACAGTGTGATGTGGCCCTCGACAGGAAGGGCCGCCCACAAACCCACTCCACTCCCGCAGCCCCAGCCCACCTTCAGCAGCAGAGGCAGAGCCCTGGGAGGCAGAGGCAGCCTGAGTCTGCTCGTAGATGGAGAGCAGGGCCTCGTCTTCCACAGCAAAGTACACGGGAACAATGGTCTCCATGGCCAGCATCTCGGGCTCAATCTCCATGAATTGCTGTAGAAGAGACACATTTAGGTGACTTACGGCCAATGGCTGTCCCTGGAGAGCAGGTAGGCCTGCACATGAAAGAATGCCTCCTCTGAGGCAGCTAATGAAGCGAGGACTGCACAAGAAAAAGCGGCAGGAGGAGGACCGGGGAGTGCGGTGAAGGGGGAGAGACAGGTGAGGCGTGGTAATGCCCAGGGGCCCCTGGGTGGTACCCGGCAGGGAGGAAGCAGGCTGGGAGAACAGGCGCTGGGGCCAACCAGGCTGGGTCAGCTTTGGCGCCACTGTGGACCCGTCCTGCCCTTACTGGCCATTACGTCCTCAGCTCTAAGTGGGCAATAGGTGCTGACTTCCCAAGCTGATGTCAGAGACCCACATGGACAGTGGGCATGAACTTCCTGCCCGGTGCAGAGCTGGCTTTCAAAAAGCGTGGGCTACTCCACCCCCCCCAACTCCCACACCGCCTTCTCATCTGCAAAAGCTTCAACAAAGAATCTGGGGGGGCAATCCTATCAGACCCTGTACATTCAAAGCAGATCTCTGCCCCTTGACACTGCTGACATCAGGGCCAGGTCACTCTCTGTGGGACCTGTCCTGGAGACTGTGCCAATTGTGACGACGACAGATGTCCCCAGACATCACCCAGTGCCCCCTGCGGAGTCACTCCAAGTAGATAGGGACAAATGATGAAGGGGAAGAGGTGCCATCTGCTTCCTGAAGGGCAAGGGCTCAGGGAAGTCAAATGACCTGCCACACAGTTGACTCCAAACCCAGGCATTCCTTTCTCCACGGAAGGTTCTGGTCCCTGGCCTGGGCAGAAGGTGGGGGCAGGGGCTCACCCGGATGACATCCTGGGGCACAGCAGCCATGGCCCGAGGCAGGATGATGACCACAGCACCCGCCGACTGCCGCAGGGCCTTCTGGTACTGCTCGTAGGAGAAGTCCAGCAGCCGTATGAGCACGCAGCGGCGGCTCAACACGTCCGCATCAATGGTGCGCGCCTCCGTGTTAAGCACTGCGTTCCGTGTGCCTGTGGGAGTGACGGAGAAGGGGAACCACTCCCTCAGCAGGATCCAAGACCCCTGCCTGGAGACCACTGACTCAGGAGCCCAGAGTCCCAGCAGCCCTCTACCCACACGCCTGACCCGAGTCCACCACAGCCAGCATCCCCCTGCCCACAAATGCAGTGCCCACTGGAACCCTGGAGAGCTGCAGCACCGTTGGGGACCCGAGTGAAGGCTGAGACCCTTCCCCTGCAAAAATCTACAGGCCTGATGTTCCAAAGCTCCCAGAACCCTGGGGTAAATCCACACTCTGGGCCCGGCTGACCAGAGCCTGGTGGCCCTGTCCTGCCCTCTCTGGCCCCTCCTGCCAGGTGCCCTATACCCTCTAACATTACCTTGGTCGTTTCCCTGGGGCCTCGCCATCAAGTAGAAAGTTTATGACCATCTAACCCTCTGATTAGACTGGAGTTCCACGGGCAGAGACCTCGGTCATTGCAATGTGAAACTAGCACTGACAGCCACTCCTGGCCCCCAGGTTCTTGACGACTCCAGCCAGGAGAACAAATAAGCAAACACTAAGTCCCCCAGTGAGCCTGAGAAGGCTCCAGACAGGCCAGGGTCAAGTCACTCTCTACGGGGGGGCGTCCCGGGCACTGTCAGGGGTTGAGCGGCATCCCTGCCCCCACCCACTCAATGCCAGGAGCACCTCCAGATGTGACAAACACAGATGTCCCTAAACAATAACCACCTAGGTCCCCAGACACGAGGAAGAAATAACCTTGGGGGTAGCCACCCCATGTAGAAACTCCTCCCTACTGTACACCCAAGTGCCAGCTTACGCCTCTTTCAAGAAAGATGAAAAGACTCAGAGCAGGAGGGAGAGTCTGAGGCACAGGCCTGGCCACTCGCAAGCCTCCCCCAGGCAAGTGAACCCCCGACTCCCTCCTAACCAAAGGTGGTGGGGTCAGAACCAGAACGTCACAGAGCTTTTCGAAGGTCAACAGGGACCCCTCGGGCACACAGCACGTGAACACTGCTGCCCTGAGAGAGTTATGCTGGGGAAAGGTGGCCCAAAGAAGCCCTACTGAGGTGAAGTTCAGGAGCACAGAGGCCAGTGCAGTGGCACAGGCAAGCAAGAAGTCCAGAACGCTTCACATACTGCACTGGCCCAGGCTGCAGCGAGCAAGCCAGCCCTAGCCACGTGGGGACTAGATGGGGCCCACGGGGCCTCCAGGTTGAGACCTGCACAGAGAGGGACACACTGAAGCGATCGGGCTTCCTCCGTGGAGCCCGCCTCAAGCCCTCCTGGAGATGGAAGCGCAGGGAAGGCGCCATCCGTGTACTGGTAGATGCGGACCTGTGCGAGGCTACGCTAAGCCTCAGGCTCGGGGCCAGGAGCCTAGATCCCTGCCTCAGCTTTCCAGGAGTGGGCCCTGGGAGGGAGCAGACGGGAGAAAAGCTGCTTCCAACGGAGTGCCCTGTGCGGATGGTGGGAGAGGAGGTGGGCGGGACACAGCAGGAACAGTGTGGGGGGGGGGGCACAGGGGAGGCCATCTCCGGAGCAGGTGCCTGCAACCAAGGAGAAAAGGGGGGCCAGGCGGCACCCTGACTCCACCCCCAATTCTCTAAGGACCTTTTCTCTGCTTTACACGGGGAGAGGGCAACAAAGACCTTCAGGACACCCCTGAAGGTCTTAGAACACCTGGGAGGCCCACCTCCAGGCCCCAGCTGTTTCCGGCCTCCGCCTCCCAGGGGCCCACGGCCTCCCACGTCACTTCAGAGGAAACTGTGGAGGGCAGCCTGGGGAGCCAACTGTGTGCATCTTCCCCCTGGGCCTGGTGTGCCCGCAGGGCAGGAGTCAGGACCCCAATCTCCACAGGGAGGAAGCGAGGCCAGAGAAGGAGGGGGATGAGAGCAAAGCTAGGCACTGTCCCCCCCCCCCGACTCTGAGCGCCCCAAGGGCAGAGACCATCTTGCTGATGTGACCCCCACACCCCTGGTCTACACCAGCAGAGGGCTTGGTGGGCAGCCCTGGACACCCAGACAGAAGCTGCAGGTTCCCACAGCAGAACCAGACCTGCAACCTTTTCTATTGGGGGCCAAAGGATCAGTCCTCTGGCCTGACTGGGCCACACCCACTCTGTCACTTGGCTACTCAGCACATCAACTAGTGGGCGTGGCTGTGTGCCAACAAAACCTTACTTACAATGGCGCAGGGGCAATCCCAGGTGAAAAAGCCCTGGCAAGTCTGGGGTGCCAACACTCCTATCTCCTCGGGCCTTGTGGAGCCTATGGTATCAAGACTGAGATGGGCACGGGCAGGCTGCTACCCGCGGCGCCCTCAGGAAGGACAGAGTCCACCTGGGAGGGGGGGTGAGGCCACATCTGTGACCTGGTATATGACTCTCAACACAATTCACAGCACAGCACAAAGAGCACACACCTTTCCTTCCTGGGCAGCTGCCCAGCCCTGTTTCTCAACAGAAGTGAACAGGAAGTTGGGAAAGGAGAGACCCGGAGCCAGAATTGCACCAGAGGTGGGGAGCCTGGGGCGTGCACTCTAGAAGAGGGTGTAAGACACTGGGGAGACTGCAATCAGCAGTGACCTAGCAGACCAGCTCTCAAAGGCACTACAGGCAGGGAGGGACGCAGGGCTCCTTCCGGCCACTCCGGGTCTTTCTGCTGCTGGAGAACAAGCAGCAGTGCCTCAGACTCCTGGGAGGCCTTCCCTCCAACAACCAACTCCCCCTCCACAGCACCAATGACCCCACCAGCTTCTCCCCAGGTAGCGATGGCCTGCCCCCCATCTATGCAGGGGACATCACTAGATGTGACCAGTGTGGACATGCAAGCCTCACTCGTGGGCCTTCATCAAAGTTTCTCCAGCTAGGCCTCTGTTTCCCGGTTTTGCAGACAAGAAGCACTTGGCTGAGATGGGTGGGCACCCCACCATGCCCCCTCTGACTACCCCCGGAACCTACACTCTCTATACATGCCTTGTGCAGGGCAGGCAGTGTTTAGGTTTCTAACTAGGAGCAACAAAGATGGGGGGCCAGGAATGTGTGTGGGGGGAGACACCAAGTCAGAAAAAAGAATGGGAAGGAATCCCAGGATCAGGAGCAAAGGACTCAGAGAAGGGAGGAAAAAGGAAAAGAAAGTTCGGGGAAAGGAGAGAAGAGGTCAGGGAGAGAAGGTTCCCGAGGACCTGCAACAGGGGGAAGTGGAGAACGTGGCTCTGCATTCAGAAAGACGGTGGGTGACCTGGCACCTGTCTCCTCCTCGAATTCAGCCAGCGTTTCCTGGGCAGGTTTGGAGAGGAGAGAGGAGGCCACATCGGGTGCAAGCAGGGCAGTGTCGAGAGGTCCAGAGGAGGCCAGGGGCCTCCAGGCTGCAGATTACGGCTGTTGAAGGAGCCAGAGAGAGAAGCTGGGTGTGCTGGGAGGAGCAGGACAGGAGCCTCTTAGCCAGGCTTCCGAGTGTGAGCAGTTTGAGCTGGGACCGAATGATGGGGTGAATGAAGGAGCTGAGGCTCAGAATCTGGAAAAATTGGTTACACTGAGCTTTAGGATCTGGGCCTTTTGGACTACGGATTCCTTCAGGAAACCAACAAAAACCCTACACCAGGATGGCAGCTACCAGTCACATGTGACTATTTGACTTTATAACAATTAAATAACGCAAAGTCCCTTCATCTGTGGCATGAGCCACATCTCAAGTGCCCAATGTTCACCTGTGGACAAGCTAGTGGCTTCCGAACCAGTGACAATATAAAACCCAGTGACAGCCACAGTGAGTTCCACTGCACAGCACTGATCCTTCCCCCAGGAGAACACCAAAGCACAGAAACGCACCCACAACACTAAGGGCTCCAGCCCCCCCCCGCCTCCGCCCCTCCAGAGCTTCGAGTTCGGATCCATCACTGTAACCCCAAGTTTCTCCCCTAGCACTGGGGCCAGAGCCTTCTCTGTGAGGGGCTGTCCTGGGCACTGCGAGGTGATGAGCAGCATCCCTGCCCCCCACTAGAAGCCAGGAGCACCCCCCACGTGACAATCATAAAGTCATCACCCAGTAACCCATGGGTTGACCAACAGCATAACTCTGTGGAGACACAGGACCTCAGGGGACGTCTGAACTCGCCTCCAGAAACCAAGGCTCTTCAAAGGCCTGGCAGTGGCTTGGGAACCAGGGCTCTCAGGTTGGGTGTGAGCCCAGCTAACAGGAGAGGGTGGACTAAGAGAACTGAGGCAGACCCTTCAGAGATGAAGGGACCAAGAGAATTAGAGACCGGGGCTCCTTTATAAGGAAATCAGGCTTTGCCTGGAGGGGAACCTAAGCAGCAGGCTGTAAGAGAAACCCAGAGGCCAGAAGATTCTGGAACAGATCCAAGAGAATTTAAGATGACTTGAGCACTGGGGTCAGAACCACCCCAGGAAGATGAAGAGGCAGGAGTGGGGAGCAAGAAGTTGCCCAGGGTCCAGGGCCAGGGTGCAGATACAATACAGAAATCCTGGGGAGAGGAAGCAAGTGGGGTTCCAGGAAGCTGGGGATAAGGAAGGGAAGCTGAGGGTGGCACAACCAAAGGGGAGGACAAGACACGGGTCCAGTAAGTCCTCAGGAACCTAAAGGCTCAGGGACTAAACAGAGGTGGGAGGAAGTCTGGCTAAGGAATTCCAAGGGATCTGGCTTGAGCTGGGACCGAGGAGAGTCGAGAGCCTGGAGAGAAATGGACCCTGATGTGGGGCCAGGCCCTGGTTAGCAATCTGTGCTCTGGAGCCCTGAGGGGAACGGAACATGGACACTGCATGAAGAGCGCCACAGTACCCAGGAGCTTTGGAGAGCCGGGGCTGGTTGAAGCACCACGTTGGGCAGGTCACCTGGTGGATTCTGGGCAGGGAGGCCCACCTCCAAATCACCCAGGACAGAGATATAGGCTCTGTATGACCCAGTGAGGATGGGCACCAGGGTGGTGTCCCAAGGCACGGGGAGGACTGGGCAACGCGACTCTGACCCAACTGGAAAGGGAACCCAAGGGTCCAGGAGCAGGGGGAACTTGGACTGAGAGTTGGAGCTGCGGGTTCTGGGACATGAAGCCCTTGTCTGGGACGGGAGAATGTGGGAGCCAATGAGGCGGGAAGTGGGGTAATTCCTGGGGGCACTGTGAGGGGTGTTGGGGGCCTAGCGGAGGTTCAGGAACCCAGGCTCTGACTTGCCTGGGCCTAGGTGAGGGTCTGGCCGCTGCAGTCCAGCTGGAGAGGCTAGAGTGGCGGATCCTAGGGAAAAAAACTGCAAAGATCCCGCTGAGGGAAGGGAGCATCTCGCCTCGGGGAGGCTGGGCCCTGGGGAGGCCGGTGGGCCAGGGACCAAGAGGTAGGGTGGGGGGCTGAGAGACGCGGCGGCCCAGGAGAGGCCCAGGGTCCACTCACCGTAGGGCTGCCCCTGCAGGTCGTACTGCTGCATGCGGTAGACCGTGAACTCGTGCGCCGCATCGGCAGCGGGCAGCGGCGGCGCCACCAGCAGCAACACCGCAGGCAGGAAGACGATGAAGCCGAGTGGCAGGCACGACGCCTTCAGCATGTTCTCCAGCACTTCGCCCGCTTCCTCCAGCATCCTGACCAGCGGGGGAGCCGCACGGGGCGGCGGCGGGAACGGGACGGGACGGGGACAGGTACAGCGACAGCAACCGCGGCGACTCTTGCGGACTCACCTCGGCATGGGTAGCCACTGGGGTCCTGCAGCCACTGCGCCGGGCAGCCCTGGGGTCCTACAGGCATTGCTGCGGATCGCCCTGCTCGCCGCGCTGCCTCCTGGGAAGTGTAGTAGTCCCGGCGCGGGTGCCACTCAATTACACGCTCATTTACTCCCCGGTGTAAGCTGTAGTCAGCTGTACGGCTAAAACTGCTCAAGTTTCACATAAACTCCACGTCAGAAAATAGACTCAAAATAGAACTACTTACAGTGGAGCTTACTTAAAGCCTGTACTTGTTGAGGGAGGATGGGGAAGCGACTGCAGATGTAGAACTTGACCTTGCAACCGGGAAAATTGTTGGGAACAGGAGAGGCCAGTTTGGCGCGCTGGGTCTCCTGGGAATTGTAGTCCCATTGAGCTAGCACAGGGAATCATGGGAACTGTAGTCTTCCTGGCAGAACTCCGAGAAAAATCACTTAAAACTTTCAAGGACTGTTAAGTGTGAAATTTCAAGAGAGCAAAGTCTTTGGTCTACTTTGTGCATTGATGTATCCCCGCAACCTAACACAAGGCCTGGCACACAGTGGGTGGGCTATACAATCTTGGGATGAATGAATGTACAAATCATTATAGAAGGTTCCTGGAAGGATGACACGATAGATCATGGGACTTGTAGTCTGGGGCCAGGAGTTCGTGCAGGGATTGGTGACATACTTATGCTTATTCATTTTGGGGTAATATTCATAATGAAAAATTATTTGTTATTCATTAGAAATGGAAATTTAATGCAATTTGGGTGTCCCAAAATAGTATTTTCTAATCTGGCTGCCTGAAGCACCCCGTTTCAGGGCCAGAGATTTTGACAAGCCTGAATAACTCACACCCCCTTGTACAGATGGGAAGACTGAGGTCACAACCAGGGTAAGGAATACAACAGACCTGGCCAACAGCGAGTTGACATCCTAGGCTCCAATATGGTAACATTTGTGCTGATTAACAGCACTGGGTTCAAGTCCTACCTACTCTACCTCTCAGATCTGTAACCTTGGGCAAGTCTCTTCACCTCTCTGAGCCGCATTTTCCTCGGCTGCCACATATGATAAATAATCAAACACTCTATGGCTCCTCCCAGCGGTGTTTAAGAATTCAATCAAATAATCCACATGAACTAACTTGAAAAGAGGAAGGCACACACAAAACTCTTGGTAGGTGCTGATATTATGAGGATGCACCCACTTGTGCAGCCCCAGGACCACTGTATCTGCTCTGCCCACAGAACACTCTCCCTCCCTTTTCTGCATGGCTAGCTCCTTACCGAAATGTTGTAGGGCTTTTCTTAGCTCTGTGTTTGTCACCCCCACCAAAGTGGGACCTTTGTAAGGGCAGAAAGTAGTTATTTATAGCTGGAAATTCGGTGCCCAGAAGAGAGCCCATCACACACTGGTTGAGTGAATGAATAAGGGAGTGAATGAACTAAGGAGTAGTGAAAGCTCCGACGCACCAGCCGCCTTTCCTAGGCATTCTTCTTACTCCCCTGCTTCCAGCCATTCCCCAGGCCTCTGCAGGGAGGCTCCGGGCCTGAGGAGTCAGAAGTGCCCTGGCAGTGCAGGGAAAGAGACAGGAATTATTCTGGCCCACATGCTCTTCATCGGCAAATGTTTCTTACCTGCTTCTTCCATCGGCCTCCCATTCTCCCAGGCCAGGCTATGAACACACAAGATACACACACACATACCCAGAGACAGGCCAAGATAGGGGCCTGAACATGGCTCAGATGTTGAGACTTGAACCCTAGAGCTGCCCATGCTGCCCCCTCACCCTAGCCTTGGTTTTTCTGTCTTAAATGTGGAGAATCAACTAACCCTGCTCTGCGGAGATGAAACCCTGGGCAGCCCAACGAATGATATCTAACATTTTTTCTGAGTTTTCTGAGGAGGAAAGGGACTGATATTCATTCATTCATTCATTCATTCATTCAATCATTCAATCATTGAAGAGGCAGTAACATGCATGGATTGAGAAGCCACCTGCCTGGGTTGAAATCCCAGCTCTACTGCTTCCCAGCTGTGTAACCTTGAGTAAGTTACCTAATATCTCTGGGCCTCTAATTCTACACCTACAAAATGGAGCTAGTGGGGAGGTTTTGTGAGGATTAAATGAGTTAATACAAAGGCACACCAGGCACCAAGTGATATATAAGGCATTGTTGTTATTATTATTCTTTCACAAGTACACACATAATAATTCCAGGACCTCTTTATGTCTCAGGTTATCAACATCCAGGTGGGCAGGGGCTATCAGTGTTCTCATTTGACAGATGAAGAAGCTTAGGTCCACGGTGTTCAGCACAGCTGAGAAGTGGTGATAGGTTACAGACCTCTGAGCCATCTAACAAGCCGGAGACGAGGACTGTTGGGAACGATTTCGCCACTGTCAGGGAGGAGGGCTGGGGAAGGAAAGGTGGAGGGGGAAGAGGTGCTCAGGCTCAGCAGAAGGAGTGCTGCTGACTCCTGTGTTTCCAAAACTCCCGGTCACTGAGCACCTGCTGTACGCTGAGCTCTGTGCCAAGTGCCAGGGACATAGTAGTGACCTGGACGCCACCACAATCTCCATCACCACACAGCTCACACACAGTCCAGGAGAGGAGGTGGACACATGACTGGAGTGGTCAGAGCTGCCATGGGACTCAAAAGCAGCTGAGGGAGTCCAGAGGAGGACTAGGGAAGGGGAAGTAATCAGAGGGGACTTCCTGGAATAGGTGATGCTAAAGCTAAAACCCAAAAAATGGGCAGGACAGATGGGGCAACTAAGAGCCAGCTCAATACAGGGTGAGCACAGGCTGAGAGCTTTGGGGGTGGTCCAAACTTCACTCACATCAAATTTCACAAAGCCCCCATCCTGCCTACTTCTGCCTCAGGTAAACACATCTGAGAGAGGCATCAAGAAAATATAAGAATCATTCCAGCTTATTGTGCACCCAGACACGTGCCAGGACTCTCTCCAGCTGTGCCCAACAGAACTTCCCATGGTGATGAACGTCCTGCCTCTGTAGTGTCTGAAACAGTTGCTATGAGCCAATGTCACCACTGGGTACTTGAAATGCAGTAGCGTGACTGCCATGGGTTGAATTTATATGCTGAAGTCCTCACCCCCAGGACCTCTGAACGTGACCTTATTTGGAAAATAAGGTCATTGTAGATGTCACAAGTTAAGGTGGCCCTAATCCAATATGACTGGTGTCCTTATGAAAATAACAGGGAAATTAGGATGACTCACACTCACACACACACACACACACACACACACACACACACGGAGAATGCAGTGTGAATGTGAAGGCAGAGATGAGGATGCTGTGTCTACAAGCCAAGGGACACCAAAGATTGCCAGCAAACACCAGAATCCCTCGTGGCTCCAGAAGGAACCAACCCTTCTGGCATCTTGATCTCGGACTTCCGGCCTCCAGAGCCAGGAGAGAATAGATGTGTGCCCTTTAGGCCCTGCAGTCTACGGAACGTTGATATGGCAGCTCAGCGAGGCCACACACCGAGAAACTGTAGTTTCAAACTCCCTCTCATTTTAGTTAATGACAAAGAGCTGCACGTGGCTAGTGGCTGCTACACCGGACAGTGCAGTACACGGTTTCCAGTCAGTGCACCGCCCTCCCACCCCGCATTGTGCAGAGGAAAACAGGGATGGGGGTGGCCCCGAGAACTTGGGAAGACAGAGTGATGGGGAGACCCACAGGCACTGGCCTGGTCCCGGGAGGGTGATGAAAGGGAACATCCCCCCAGCCAAAGGTGGCCACGTTCGGGGGACGTTCACCTGTGCTGTCCGATATGGCTGCCACAGGTCCCAGGGGCCATTTAAATGCAAATTAATTCCAAGTTCAGTTCTTCTGTTGCACCAGCCACTTACTGAGTGCTCAACAGCCACGTGGGGCTCCTGTACTGGCCAACACAGACATAGAACCTTTCGCCATCACCTGACCTTTTGTCGGACACATGGATGCCACTTCCTGTGGCGAACACTGAGCATGTAACAATAATTTCATGCCGTGGGTTCTGCTTGTTAGCAGCCCACTTTAGATGGGGAAGGATGAGGATGAGGACAGGGCTGTTGTTGGTGCTGAAAGAAACTCTGGAGAGCGGGCATGTTTCCTGAGGCCGGCAGGACCAAGCTGCTGCCCCTCTGCTGGCCTGCAGGCTGGGTTCCCAAGCGAGGCAGAGCCCAGGGGTGGAGGAAAGAGGCTGCGGGGGGGACCAAGATGAAAGATGGGGCAGGAAAGGGGAAGTGAGTGAGCGAGAAGGGGCGGGTGCCAAATCTTGCTGACCTCCACCCTGGTAGCCTTATAACGCTCAAACACTTCAGCAAAGTGGTCCAGTCACCCGCAGGGGTGTGCACACACCCCCTCCCTGCTACACCAGGAAGCATCTGCAGGCACTCGGAGGTGCAGCTTGTGCTCACAGCAGGGGCATGTTCTGCCCCCCTTCTCTCTCTTTTTCACACGCACACCGCCCACTCTCACAACCACACGCTCCCCCGAGCACGCAGACCCAAGGCCTTCACCGGCCACAGCCAAGGATGCAGGCTCCCAGCAGACCCACCAGCCTCATGCGATCGTCCCTCTGCAAAAACGGGAATAAGAGGAAGGCTGAGACATCTCATACCACCATTGAACTTCCATGTTGCTAGGGCAGTGACCCCACAGCCTACCCCTTATTGCCTAGGAGCCCCACTGAAATCCAGAGAGCAGCTGGGGCATACATAGTAACCTCCCTGTCCCCATGCCAGGGCCCTCTCTGTTCCAGTGGGCAGTCACCTCCTTCTCCGAGACCACGAAGCACCGGCAGACCGGGGACTGTGAGGAGGAACACAGAGCCTTGGGACCCCTGGCCAGTTTTCTGCTCCATCCTCTCCATCTGGACCTGCCTGCTGCCTCTCTGCATGCTCCCAGGCTCCTGGCCCACCCACTGTGGGCCCCTCCAGGCCAGGAGGAGGACCTGTGGGGGCATGCACTGGCAGCTGGGCCTTCTTCCCCAGCGGTGGCTCAGACGCTCCTCACACTGGAGATACTAGTCAGTGGCTCTCGCATCCGAAAGCTGAGTGACCGGGAGCCCCGGAAGCTGTCCCTGGGTCTCAGCGAGCTGTCAGTGGTGGAGGCTCCAGAGTGGGCCTCAGCAGCCCGGGCCAGGCAGTCCCCAGGCCCTCGAAGGCCCAGCCTGAGACACCCGCTGCACAGGAAGCCCAGCACGGCCCGGCAGACTTCCCGGCTGCGGAAGGAGTAGATGAGCGGGTTGACAGCAGAGTTCAGCACGGCCAGCGCCAGGATCCAGTCCATGCCCCTCAGGTACTCCTGGGCCCAGACGGTGGAGCCGAAGATGTCGGCCAGCAGCAGGCCGAAAAGCGGACCCCAGCAGACCACGAAAGCCACCAGGATCATGAGCACCGTGTTGAGCAGTCGGCGGGCCTTGCGGCGGACCGGGGGACGAGAGGCCTTCTGCCCGTTGGCCCGCACCACCCGGAAGATGGCCCCATAGAGCACCATGATGGTGGCCAGGATGCAGGCAAAGATGACCACACAGAAGAGGATGTAGGCCTTGGAGTAGAGCGGGAGCAGGCTGGAACAGCTCTGGAAGGAGCACACGCAGTTCCAGCCGAGCA